GGAGTCTGAGTCTTCTAACTGAAGGAAACTATTTGTTACCTAGTGACATAAAAATAGAAAAATAAAAATAATCTTCGACTTAGTCTCATTTCTCTTCGATCCTTCATTGTCAATTTTGATGGTAAGAACAAATATAATTAAATCTTAGCTAAAGTACATTATCACAAGCTGTAATAAGCATAGTTATTTGATCTTTCTACTGCCAACAAGATTCAGCTTCAAGGAAATATTCAAGTTGGCTAATGAAGAAACGTGAATGAAAGGGATGTTCATACCTAATTCCAAAGCAGACATCCTAATGAACAGATCCTGCCCAGCAGATTGAAACTGTCTAATGTCAACTAGATCACCAAACCAAATGGCACAACCACTACCTCTTCCTCTTATATCCAAACTAGTATATGCCATACAAGAACAGTTCTGGAAGCATTTATGCCTGCATTCCTTGAGGCTCATAGTTTTGTTTACCCATGAATGGGTAGCATCAGGCAGTTTCAACCTTTCAAATTGGATAAATCCATCGCCTGCCTGGCAGTTCAATGGCTTGTTTCTGACACATCCTTGAGACCATTCACCAGAGCTCCATCCATCTGGTGATTTAGGCTTGAATCCTTTCAAACATTGGCAAGCTGGAGCTTGACCACTGTCACAATTCCCATATGCACCACAAAGTCCATAATTGTCACAATTGTCGTTAGGTACGTATGAGTAAAGCTTCCATGTTCGAGTTTCTTCATTCCATGTGTATCTCTGCCCTGTGTAGTCAGTTTGGTTCAGAACAATCCTTGAGAGCATAGGCTTGTTTTTGAGGGAAAACATGTAGTAGACCTCCTCTTCATTGGAGACAAATTCAATACTGAAAACTAAGTTATCAGGACCTACAAATCGGGAACCACTAAATCTTAAGCCATTCCAGGGACCACTCCTGTAGTATTTCTGGGAGCCTTTCCAGAGCACCGCCTCAGGATTACCTTGTAGTTCAATTTCCAAAGTAAAGTCACCAGGAGATGGATCATCAGAGTTCTTCCACGCTAAGAGACGCCTGTCAAGGCCAGTTCTCAAGTCCCATCCTATTTTCATCCCCGGTAGCAGTGTATCAGATGGATAATCAAAGCTTTGCCACAAGTAAGCTCCCGAATTTCCATCCCTGTCATCTATCAAAACAAGATTGCCAGAATTCAGGAGCTGCAGTATAGGATTCTGAGCTCCTTTTTTTGAGTTAGCTGACCAAACAACAGTTATGTTCTGACTCAGAAGCTGAAGATCACCAGTGGTTGTTACCATCAACATGCCAGAAGAGTCATTTATTGGATTCACCCTGTTTGCAACCCAAACAACTGTTCTGACTGGGATGTTCTTGTACCAAATTCCCAAGTACCGGTTCCCAGAACTGCCTGGATGGAAGAAACCCAACTCAAAGCTTCCATCATTGGAAACTAAGGTCTTTCCATCGGGGAGAGGCTCAGATGGAGAAATGGAGTCAATTGCTGTCGAGGCTTTCAAGAAGATTAGAAAACAAGTACTCACAAATGCTATCAAAGTAAAAACATCCATTGTATGCCTAAAATTGAAGCTATCTCCCGCCAAGATCAATACTGGGCCTCGATTTGAGATGTGTAAATGCTTGCACGGAAAGGAAAAAAGACTTGACTTGTGTGGGTGCCAGCAAACTACTCAAGAGACAGGTGATGGATTAGAACAATTGCCTTGACTCTACTTGCGTGGATGCTAAAAGGGCAGTGGTAGGAAGAGGCAATTTGCTGTCGAGGAATTTTCAAAATAATTCCAGGATTTGGGTTTCAATCACAAAAGGTTGCTTCGAAACAATTGCATAGAGTGTATTTGAATAAGTATGATTTTGGTTTGAATCATATAAATATAATTTGAATTATTTACATAAAATCAGAATTCAAAATGTACGATTTTGGTTCGAACCACATTTATATGGTTGAAACCATTTATGTCAAAAATAAAATAAATAAAATAAATTGCTGTTAAATTTCTCAAAAAAGAGTGGATTACTTTGGAAGGCAAGGAAATATGTGAGTTAGAATTTAAATCAAACCAAATGATTTTTGGAAGAGTTTTCAATAAATAAACTTAATTGAAAAGGAGTGTCTATTCCTAATAGACATCTTACATTTATAAATATCGAGTTATCTCTTTTTCTTTTGAATCTCTTGAACACATAAACAAATTTTTACTATTAACTAAATAAACAACCCATTTTTGTACCGCAATTGCTGCAAAAATCCCTATACAAAAACTATTGTTTTGTCGCTTTCTAAAGGACAGTTCAGTGGTTGATCTTGCAAGTGCAAAAGCAAGATCAACAAGGCACTTCATTGTATCTTATGGGTATTTCATTTTACTCTCTTTTGCATACCAAATCTGGTGGGGACGAAATTAACATAAAGGAAAATAGCATTTGCAACACGTCTTGAAGCTAATTATCTATTTTCTAAACCCCAATTTCCAACACTTGCATGTTCCAATCAATTAATTGCAAGCATTTATAGGAGAACTATAAAATGTTAAATGTCTGTCAGATATACCTATTTTCAAAAGTAGGCTTGACAAATAGATCGGATTGGGTTATTTCGAATCTTAGGTTTTTCAGATTGGGTCACTTTTGGGTATTAGGTTAAAGGGGTAGGTCTATGACCCACCCACATGGCTCTTAGATTGGGTTGGGTTTCTAAAAAATTAAAATTAAAAATTTCTATATGTTTCTCTTGTTTTTTTTAACAAAGTCTAATATTAATTAATTATTTAATTAGAAAACTTTATTAAACGCTAATTTTCATTTCATGATTTAATTTTCATTCCAATCTCAAGAAGAGAAAATGAAAAGATTACTGATTATATAGGTGAAATTAAAATATATATGAAATATATAATGCCTATACAATATTTATAATTCATGATTTCATAAAAACACTAACATTCATTAAAAGAAGAGACATGAAGGATTAGAGTTCAAAAGACAAATCCAATATATATGTTAATATCTTAACCTTCACCTAATTTTATTTTTGACGCAAGTGCCATCAAAGAGAGAGAAGGATTAAAGAGCTTGAGATGAAGAAGGGGAGAGCGAAAGTGGAGAAGAGGAAAATTGAGAGAAAGTGAAACTAATGAGAGGTTAGGGTTTGAGTATTTTACTTATTTTTACTTTTAGAATTAGAAAATTAAGAATTTAAATTTAATTTTTAAGTAATCTAATAAAAAATGTATAAAAAAAGTTTGGGTCATTTCAGATGACCTAACTCATTTGGGTTCGGATAATTTCAATTCGAAATGATCGGATTTTGGATTAACAAATAGGACCCATGACTTGATCCATAATGGGTAAGTTGGGTCAAATTTTCAGACTGAGTCAAATTTTGCTAGGTCTACTCAAAAGTTTAGCAAGGAAAAACTTCATGCGCAGAGTTGCCGGTCATTAAACGTGAACATATCACTATCTCAAGCAAAGGGTCAATAAAATCCGCCTCTTACTCAACATTAATTCCAAATTTTGGAAAATTCAGGCTCTATGGGGAGATATGACTTTAAAGAGAGTTCAGTATTTGTCTTGCAACTTCTTCTCACTTTCATAGAATAATTTAAGGTACAAACAACATGCAGACATGAAAGTTTCGCCGTGATGAGTCCACCATAAGCAATGACAATACAGATCTTAAGAATCAAATAGGATAGTATCATTTTCTTGTATGTATACCATACAAGACAATGGATGAATCTACAAGCAGTGTTTCATTATGATATGCAGCATGAGGCATAAAGTTCAAGATTCCTCTATTGAGCATTGTCAGACTAAGTTCATTGTCAGACAAAGAAGACATGCCCAATGCCCATTGATCTGATTGAGAATTTCACCCAAAAAAACGTTTCTTAGGTCATTATTGCCCAAGAGATCTGCATTCTCTACGACTGGAAAGATGGAATGGACCCATTCTCGACATATTGGTTCCACAAGGGAGAAAAAAATGGAGTCTTTTTTAAACTTAGTCATCAAAGAAGGTTATTGTCAAAATCCCCTGTTTGTTTCCCCTTCTGTGGAGCAAGACTCGGTTGTCCACGAAGTTGCCATTGTAGACTGGAACTGTATATCCTCACTGATTCCTTTCACAATCCTCGTAAAGAAGAAGAGGAAGAAAAATGTAGAATTTTCAACTGTGACCCACTAAGTTTGAAACTATGCATTCTGCCAAGAAAAAGGAAACTTAGTCACCTAAATCGATTTAACTGAAGCAGTCAACCTTGTTATCCGAAGAGAAGCTGGAGACATTATGTAACATGCTAAACAATTTTCTTAGCTCATTACTGCCAAGAAAATGATATCCAGGATGTTTACTATTACATTACATATACTAGCCTTTCACTTTTGTTTTTAATATTTTTGTTTCAAGTGATGATGCTTTACCGTCCCTGCAACGTTGAAATTGTTACTTCGTTTACTGAAACGCGTTCATGCTGGCTTGATGAAGCCTCTTCTTCTGGTCGATTCCTTTCGGTGTAAAAACCAGGAAGTTTTGGTTGAGGCAATGGATTCTCACTGCCCAACATTAGAACCACAGATGACATATCTGGCATGTCCTCTGGTCGTTTTCGGACACATATCAGAGCCACATAAATGCAGCGTAGAACCTCAGAAACAGTGTAAGAGTCGCCTAACAGGGTGTCCATTACTTCCAATGCTCTTTCTTCCATCCATAATCTCCATTTCTAAAAATATTAAAAATTAAATATATGTATAGCATTGAAGGCCAAAAGGAAACAAATATGCATGACATTGTTTAAGAAAGTAATTTGTTGTTTTTTTATGCTTACATGTCCAAGAAGATTATGGTTGTGATCCCAGTGGCGAAGTCCTCTGTTCTTCTTTCCACTTATGATCTCAAGCACTATCACATCAAAGTTGAAAACATTGGATTTTATTGAGAAGTGTCCATCTACTGCATACTCAGAAGGCATATAACCACTGCAAAAATATCATTATAAGCAAAGTGAAAAATATGTGGTCTTAGATACTGTTAGAATATCAGTATTTATTTTAGAATATTATATTCACATTGCAATTGATTATATACATATAAGTTAATTGGTTTTATACCTAGAAAAATTCTATTGTATAGTTTTATACCTAAAAATACTCTATTATATAGATCGATATATAAGACCTTTGTCTATAATGAAAACAAGAAAGTAATAAACCTTTTTTCAAATTATTCTTCTTCTTTTCTACTTCTAATATGGTATCAAAGCTATGAGCTTCTGATTCTTTTCTTTTATCATCGTTGTTTGTTTTTGGAATTGGATTTTCAAATCTCCTCTAGATCTGAAACTTTGTCGTTGGGATATCTTCTCCTACAAATTGGACTGTTTATTTTCGATTCTCAGTCTCTTTCTGAGGTATTTTGTTGGGATGTTATTTTGACCTTAGTATTTATTTCTTTATATTTTATAGAGTTTTTTAGTACTGTGAGTTTTACTTATTTTATAGCGAGTTTTGAAAGAATTGTAACTTATTCTGCTACTGCTATGGTTGCAAAAAAAGTGATAGATCAACCTAATGTCAACCTTAAATCCTTAAAACAGGTGATATTAAATCTTTTTAATGCTCCTACTACCTTATCTACTGCTCTAGGTACCAAACCTTTGTATTTTGATTTTGGTTGTTATAACCATATGTCTTCAATTGCTGCTCATTTCTTTTCAATGTCACCAAACAATTCTTTTCCTGATATTTATTTTGTTGATGGTTCTCTTATGAATGTTAGTCACATTGGTAATATTTCTACGAAGTCATTGACTTTACTAAATACTCTCTTAGTTCCAAAACTTAGTTATAATATTCTATCTGTTGATCAATTTTGTGATCTTGGCCTTGAAGTAACATTTTATGCCCATGGTTGTCATGTGCAAGACCCACAAACAGGACAACTTCTTGGAACTAGTTGCAAGGTGGGGCGTATGTTTGAACTTAATTATCTGCATATTGCACATCATAAAATGGATACACCATCATTTTCAAATGATCACTTTATCCAAACCTTACTCTGTGTTGTCGAATTAGAGTCCTTACAAATTCTGTACCAATAAATCTTACAAGCCTGTGCTGCTACTAACATTTTTCCTCTCTAGTTGTGGCACTCATGGCTTGGACATATCTCAGTTGGTAAACTTTGTCCACTTATCTCTCATGGTTTATTAGGATTTGTTACAAATGAATCCTAGCATTGTGTGTCATGTCAATCTGCAAAGCAACTAACTTTATCATTTTTGAGTAGTCATTCTCTTTCTGCTGCTCCTTTTGATCCCGTGCATTCTGATGTTTAGAGTCCATCTCTTACACCCACCATGGGGGGTTCTAGGTACTTTATGCTATTTATTGATGATCATACTTGTTTTACTTGAATATATCTTATGAAATTTTGCTCTGAATTATCACAAATTTATATTGATTTTACTACCATGATCAAAACTCAGTTCTCTAAAATTATCAAAGTTTTTAGAACTAATAATGCTACTGAATATCTTGGTACCAAATTTCAATCCTTTCTCAAATAACAGGGTACATTGACACAACAATCTTGTCCTTACACTTTTGAACAGAATAAGCAAGCTGAATGCAAACACAAACACATCCTTGATTCTATTCGTGCTTTGCTCATTTCATCTTCTTATCCAAAGCAATTTTGGGGTGAAGCTACTCTTACAGTTGTTTATCTCATTAATCATATTCCATCATCAGTCCTTAATAACCAGTCTCCATACGAGCATTTACATGGCATTATTCTTGCCTATGATCTTTTTAAGGTTTTTGGTTGTGCATGTTTTGTTCTTTTTCCGCCTCATGAACATAACAAATTAGAGCCTAAAGCTCGATTATGCTTTTTTTGGGTTATGGGATTAGACAAAAAGGATACGGTTGGGATCCTATGTCATAAAAACTCTGAGTTTCATGTCATGTTGTATTTTGGGAAAACACTATGTTTTCATCGTTGTCAAACTTCCAAGTGCCATCCTTTCCTCAGCTTCCATTTTTTACTAATTCTTCTATTGAACTATTTCCTAGTGATTCTAATGCAGGTACATCTAATGAGCTTTACAATGCCTCACCACATGCTCCAACTAGTTTTACAAAAGATGACCTACCTATTGGTAATGCATTAGATAATTCTAAGCCTTCCTCTACTTCCTCATCTATATCACCTGTTGATGTTGTATTTGATATTGTTGAGTCTATAAATCAGCTTGTTGTCCCATCCTCAAGTCGTCCTACTCGGGTAGGAAACCTTCCTAACTACCTTCGCGATTATCATTGTTTTCCTATTTTTACTTCTTTACATGAGCCTCAATCATATCGAGAGGCCTCTGCTAATCCTCTTTGGTAACAAGTTACGCAAGATGAACTACAGGCTCTTCAAAACACTTGTACATGGGATTTAGTTGATCTCCTTGCTAAAAAGTCTCTAATAGGTTGTAAATGAGTGTACAAGATCAAAACATGATCTGATGGTTCTGTGGAGCGTAAGGCATGCTTGCTCATCAAGGGTTTTACACAGGAGTATGGAATAAACTATGAGGAAACATTTGCTCCAGTTGCTCATCTCACATCTGTGCGCAATTTGCTTGTTATCATTGCTATACGAAGATGGAAATTGTTTCAGATGGATGTAAGAAATGTTTTTCTTAATGGTGACCTAGAAGAAGAAGTTTACATGAAACCACCTCCTGGGCTCAACCATCCTCCAAACAAGGTATGCCGATTGCGACATGCATTATACAAGTTGAAGCAATCCCCTCAAGCCTGGTATGCAAAGTTAGTGCTACTATGAGTGAGTTTGGTTTTATTTTGAGTCCACATGATACAGCTTTGTTCATTCATAAAACTGCTTGGGGTATGGTTCTTTTACTTCTTTATGTTGATGACATGATTATTATTGGAGATGATATCGCAAGTGTTGAGAAGCTAAAACAATCTCTTAGTTAGAAATCTGAGATGAAAGATCTTGGTGTTCTAAGCTATTTTTTGGGGCTTGAAGTCACCTCTTTAGATGATGGCTACTTGCTTTCTCAAGTAAAGTATGCCTCCGATCTTGTTTCTAAAGCTGAATTCAATGATAGCAAGAGTGTTTCTACACCTCTTGAACTAATGTCAAGCTCACACCTATGGATGGCTCTCCACTTTTTTATCCTACTCACTATCGACAATTGGTTAGTAGTCTAGTTTATCTTACCACGACATGCCTTGACATAGCATATACAGTTAACATTGTTAGTTAGTTTATGGCTACTCCTTATTCTACTCTTTATGCAACAGTACTTTGCATTATTCACTATATTAAAGGAACATTGTTTCATGGACTCCATTTTTCTGCTAACTCCTCCCCTATGCTTCACGCTTATTCTAATGCTGATTGGGCTGGTAATCCTTCTGATCATAGATCTACCCCTGGTTATTGTCTTTTCCTTAGTAATTCTCTTATTTATTGGTAGAGTAAGAAACAAACTATTTCATCTCGTTCTAGTACTGAAGCTGAGTATAGAGCTCTCGGTGATACCACAATAGAACTTCTTTCATTACAATGGCTTCTTGAAGATATAGGCATTCCTCAACCTTCTTTTTCTGATTTATATTGTGATAATCAAAGTGGTATACAGATTGCTTACAATGATGTCTTCCATGAATGCAGAAAGCATATCGAGGTTGATTGTCACTTTATTCGTCATCATGTTGCAAAGGGAATTGTTGATTTGATTTTCATTAGTTCTACTGATTAACCCTCTGATTTGTTTACCAAGGCTCACTTCCCTGGATGCTTCTAAACTTTTCTTTCCAAACTCAAGTTAGTTTCCTCACCACCACCTTGAGTTTGTAGGGAGATGTTAGAATATCAATATTTATTTTAGAATATTATATTCATATTGTAATTGATTATATATATTTAAGTTAATTGGTTTTATACTTAGTAATATTCTATTGTATAGTTTTATATCTAGGAATATTCTATTATATAGATCTTTATATAGGACCTTTGTGTATACAATGAAAACAAGAAAACAGTAAACCTTTCTTCAAATTATTCTTATTCTTTTCTATTTCCAACAAATACAAATACTTATATTCTGCATTATATTCACTTCTACTTACTAAGTTCCAACTTGTTGTTACTTGAAAAGTTATCTGTTGCTTTCACTATTCTGGCTAAATCGAATATTGGTAACTCCATCTCCTCATTTTTCTCCCCCTCCTTGCTTCCTTAGTTTCTTGATCCGTATGTAACATAATAATCCAATGAAAACCATTCCAGTCAACATTACAGAGCTGACAATAATCGCTACTTGCTTCTTACCATAACCTGTAACATCAGATATAGTTTTACTGGCT